GAAGTATAACAAAGGGCCAAAAGAAATTGCTGGAAGTTGGTCCCAGATGTCTGAAATCGGTCCTAACTGGAATTTAATTAAGGTTTCCTAAATCCACTGACATTAGGTTTAGGTTTCTCATCCGCCAACGTTAGGATTAGGGAAAGCCCTCAGGATATGGGAAAAAACAAAGGTATTATATATTTAGTTTAGGTATAAATCTACTGACCTTAATTTTAGGTTTCTTTATGTCTCTCTCCAAAAATTCTAGTGTAAACTTTTTATGTGTGTTTCAGGAGTTTATTAACAAAAATATAGCCAATCAAGTAATCAAAGAACAGTATACAACGCATCCTTGCAAAGAGCATTCAGGGGTGTCTATATACACTGCTCCAAAAAATAAAGGAGACACGTAAACAACACAATACAAAAGCATGAGATGGACTCTATAACCCACACAAGTGGCTCAGGTAGTGCAGCTCATCCATGATGGCACATCAATGTGAGCTATGGCAAAAAGGGTTTGCTGTGTCTGTCAGTGCAGGGTCCAGAGGGTGGAGGCGCTACCAGGAGACATTGAGGAGGCCGTAGGAGGGCAACAACCCAGCAGCAGGACCGCTACCTCTGCCTGAAGAGAAAAGACCTCCACCAGGCCACAAATGTGCATGTGTCTGCACTAGCAGTTAGAAACCGATCCCATGAGCATAGGATGACCATACCAATTTCCACTGTGCAGGTCGCTTGGCATTTGTCAGATAACACCAGGATTGGCAAATTTGGCACTGGTGTCCTGTGATCTTCACAAATGAAAGCAGGTTCACACTGAAAGTATTGTGGAGGATTTTCGCAATTAAGAGACCTATTTATATATTAAACCTATGCAAGAACATACGGGAGCCCATTTGTCCTCGTGCACGCTCTGTTTAAAAGATGCTGTTCTCATAGCTCATTCAATCTTACTGTGTCCGAACGTCCGCCCTAACGCCTAAATCCCTCAATAACTATATAGAGTGGACACTATATAGTGGACTTAATAGCAAACTCAATTAACTCACCATTACGACAGACGATCACTACTTTTTGGTCATTGTTGTTCACGTAACTCCTCCTCCACCGTGTGTTGCTTGCGGCATCTTTGTCGCCACTGTTCGGTAGTGACAGCCTATGTCAATAGCAGGCTGCTCTGACAGCAAATCCCATAATGCTTTGCGAGGAGCGCTCTCTGCGCAAAGCATTCTGGGATATATCTGCCTCTTCTCAGGCCTTTCTTTTCTTCTCATACACTTCTTAGACACTTTTTTCTCTGCGAACTTCAATGATTGTCTGAAACTCACTACTATTAAATGAAATGTTTGTAAGCAAAAATTTTGTGTGTGACTCCACATCCAGGCCTCATTGGTTAAAAAATTGGATTGCCATTGATGACTTTTGTGTGATTATGTTGTTGGCACATTTAACTTTGCACAGAACAAAGTATTTAATAAGAATATTTTATTCATTCTATGTATTATTTGGTGTTCCCTATTTTTCTATTTCTCTATTTTTTGTGCATTGCATAACAAGATATTTATGGAAAGATGTTCAAATTGAAGTACAAAAAAACTCTGAATTGTGTTTAATTTGAGATTAAGCAAGAAACTTACCGAATTTCCCTATGGGATTAATGAAGTATTACAAAATTTAATTTAATTAAAGATTTAAAAATCCCTCTTAATTAACTTCAGGTGTGGACTTTTGGCACTGATCATAAAAAATGTGGGGCCCTGCTATGATAGTGGAGTAGGGTGCCTCTCATTTTATTTAGTAAACCTCATCTCTGAACAAGGCAAAAACAATAAAAGACAAAGACGGTCTCTTCAGCTTAAACTTCCCCAATCTAGACATCAAAAGAAAAAACTATGCCTTACTTCTGCCACAAAACCTCCTGTTTCTAATGTGTCCATCTGGGTTCTTCTCTCTGCCTTGTATTTTGCACCAGTGGAAATAACTCAACAGTTTTTGCTTAAAAAAAAAGGTCTGCTCGTAGTGGGGGCCTTCTCACACTATTGGTAAAGGAATGTAGCCTGGGGGCCATTTGCAGTCAAATCAATGATCTCGTGCGGCTCCTGATCCCAATCCATGAAGGGAGCAAACTTGGTCAGTTGGCACAGATGTTTGACGCACTTAGGGTGAGATTTTTACAGAACAAATCTTTAACTCCTAAAATGTTCCATGTCACAATGTGACACCAAATGTTACTTCCCATTTCTAACCAGGTTTCTGGGCTCATCCTTTGTAGTAAATAGAACCACAAGATGCTGGCAGCTTGTACCCAAAAGCAGACTTGGATGCTCCTGTCGACTAATTAATAGGAAGGGATTTGATAGAAACTGAAATATCTTTAAAAAATAAAATAAAGAAAATGTTTAGCTCTTCTGCATGAACTTTTTTTGTGTTTTGAAACTACAGTAAGCACAGATTAACTTTCAAAAACATCTGAGCATTTTGTTAGTTTAAATAAAATCTGGCATGGTTAATTCATCATCTAGCAAATATTTGGATTGCATCCCAACTGCTTTCGACTTGGAAAATGTTTATACATCAGCTCGGTGAAACTTCATACAGTTGCAACAAAAAACCTTTGAAAAAAGAAAGTAAAATCACTCGTAACATTATATTCTGTAGCATCAGATCACAGGTGTTTTAAGCTTTCAGTGCAGAGAATAAATTCCCTTGACGTTCATCCATACTAAGCCGTTCAGCCAGTCAAGGGCAGGATCAAAAAGCCAAAGATGTTTCTCTAATGTTTCTTTTTTCAGTAGCTGAGTTACATCAGGTTACAGATATCGCTGCCATGTCGTTTTAGGTTAAAGAACAATCAGCAAACAGTGTTATGGGATGTAAAGAACATCTCCCCTCTATGTCCTAAGTGTCTTTTGTCTCCCTTTATCCCCAAGAAGCCCTTTCCACACTGCATCCTCCTCACAGCGAAGCCGTCAAAGTGACTGCAGCAGCCGCAAAAAGCCATGACGATTACAGACGAGTCATGCTCAGTTTTATATTTAACGCTGCGTTTAAGGTGCTTGGTGGAAGAAATGACTGGAGGTTTGGAAGTGTTGGGGAGGGTCAGACGGGACTTCAAAGCATGCTTTCAGAATAGGATTTTCTGCTTAAATCCACATAAGGAAAGAAAGAGAGTCATCGGAGGAGGTAGGGAATATTTCTGTCTTCTCAGAGGGCTTGGCCATTCCAACAATATAAGCCATGTATATGGGTGTTTAGAAATGACTTTGGTGTATCCAACACCTTAAAGCAGACGGGGATTTGACTTGTCCATTTAATACTCTTGCTGTCATATAAAAGTAGGCTACATAGAAAAAGCTAAAGGATGGGAATGTATTCTGCCTTTCTAAAGCATTCGTACCCTTTGAACCTAAACATAGGGTCCCATTTTAATCAAAAAGCTATTTCTAAATCAGGTGTCTTTGCCTTAAATGTACATGTTTGTCAGTCTGGTTTTTGACTAGGCCATTATAGCACAGGGATATTCTTTAATTTGAAAACACTTTATTACATATCTGGCTCTATGTTTAGGATGGTTGTCCTGCTGGAAGGTTACCCTTTACTCCACTCTTCAGTCTTTCCAGACCTTTTAAGCAGTTCTCAGTTTTTAGCTCTATAATTTAGAGGATGATGAGTGTCGCAATACAATAAATAAATATCTTATGAAACAATTAATTTATATGTGTCATTAATTAATCAAAAGGAGAAATAAATTCAGCTCCTATCTACAGGTTTCTCATTGCTGCTCATCATTAAAAGGCCAGATTATTGAAAAGCACTACTAAGTTGGTATATTTAGTAGGGATGTAAATAATAATCGTTTTGTATCGATGCATCTATCCAACAGCCAAAGATCCGATGCATCGATACGTCCGCAAGAGTATCGATTAATGTTTTTTTTTCCCTCCGGTCTATTTTTATCCACTTGCTCGTGGGTGTAATTCTACCTCCCGTGCTGCGGTGGCGCTAAACCTATTTTGCCCTCCTACCGCGCTTCCTGGTTATACTCTTACAGCAGGTGGAAAAAGGGTCCCAGCGTTCTCACGCAGCTCGTTCTTCTAAAGGGTCAAACTTCATGGTTTGTTTTGCGCAATTTCGGTCATAAAAGCAAAAAAAGCCGGCCTCCTGTCTGCGGCACTGTTTGCGCTCACCTACAATTTGGAAGAGGTGCAGGGAAGCGTCTTTGGAGGGGGCGGGGACGTCTGGAGCCGAGGTATTGCATTCCACCATTGCACTGATTTTGTTCAGTATTTTTTGATGCAAAGCCTTTTAGCTTCTATAACGCAGGGGCATTATTATTTTTCAGTGAATGAGGTTTTAATAGGCCTAGGTGGAGTGCAACTTTTCTACTTCTGTTATTTGCTGTTGTTTCTACAAAAAAATGCATACCGATATTACAGCTTACATTTATTTATTTTGAATTTGAAACATTGTCTAGCCTGTAAGGTGTGTAAAAAAAAAAAAAAAAAAGAACCAACTAATTGAATCGAATCATATCGTGGGTATTGAAAATAATCGAATCGTTGGGTCATGAAATCGATACTGAATCAGTCACCATGATGGATGTAATTTACACCCCTAATATTTATGGTGTCTATCATGAGCAGCAGATGTCTGAGCTCCTCCAAAGTTACTTAGCTGTTCCTCTTAGCAAAGTAACTTAGCTGGCTTTTCACTGGTATCATATTCTGATTACTCAATAAAATCTACAAATGTTCATCAAATGTCTGATATTTCAACCTGCTTTAAATTTTTGCTAAGTTCATACTGAGGAGGCGTTATGACATAAGTATTTCTATTCAGGGAGCCAAAGGAAAGATGGAAGATAAACAATGCATGCCATATTTTTCAGATCTCTGTTTGGACGTTTTTGAAAACCATTCATTGTTTTTTTTAACTTATATAAGGCATCTGATCTGATCTGATCAAAGCAGTCAGCTTTACATTTGGTTGGGCCTTTTTCAAGCTGAGCTGCATACCTCTTTGCTTTGTAGGCCATGTTCATAGTTAAAGGCACTATTCCGCTCAAAGCTTGACTTCAAAATCTACAGAGATAAGAAGGAAAAAAAAAAACAGGTTATGAAATGATTGAAGAGCTCAAAGACGATAAAGAAATAAACAAAAAAAAAGACACCTGACACAACTTACTGGTGACAGTAAGGGAATGGGCTTCTCCCTCAAATACCTGGGGTTTTCAATCTGAAAGCAGAGAGAAAAACATTCAGACCTCTCTCTTCTCTGCCTCTCCTAACAAAGCCCTGAAACTACCAGAATCCATCCCAAGCAGTGAGTATGCCATAAACAATGTGGACAGCACATCAAAGTCTAGTTTTGTGGCTGAAGCCTCTTCCGTCAACTCCTGTCTGTTTAGAGAGACAGAACCGTCGCGCAACTTCAAGGCTTTGTGTGTGTGGCCGGCTCTGTTTCCGCTCTCGGCTCCCCCTCTGCTGTCCCTTTTGTCAACACTGAAGACCGCTAATCTGTAAGCTATCCCCACTCTGTTTACCATCACATGGAGACCAAAGCGTATACAACCCTGCCAAACACTGACTCGGCATGCTCTTTGCTTACAATATGGGACGCATTGGACTGAAAAGTGTAAGCAGGTTAACCACCTGAAAGTAAGCGGGTCACGGTCCATGTGACTTTGGTGGCTTTACATCAATAAGGCTCGCTAACTGTGACACAAGCTGCAAAAATATCATCATACAGCGCTTCTCTCTGATGCTTTAGAGCCATCTGTGGGGGCTCACATCTAACATCCACATCACAGCCTTTCAAAGTAAGAACCTAAATCTCAGAATGACGGCAACGACTTCCAACGTTAATCTCCAAAACAAACAGAAAGAGTGGGAACAGGAGAAAATGGGATTCTATTTTGTGTTATTAAAAAAAAAAGGAGAATCAATGCTTTAAGATGGTGCTACCCACTCAAAGCTAATCCAAAATAAAAAGAGGATGAGGGAACAGGACCTGGGAGAATTTAAGGACTTTGGAGTAAAAAAGCAGCAGCTACAATGGCTGAATAACGTCACAATCTGCTGCTTCAGGGTGAGAGACATAGTCAACCTTAAAGAGGTAAAGAATGGTTCCTCTGGTTATCACAATACAAGCATAGGATCAGAAAAAGAACCAACTCTGTGTCCATTAGACTAAAGCTGCAACAAGCATTGTGAAGAAAAGGACATATTTTCATAAAGTGGAGCCCAGGATGAAAACTCAAACCAATAGCCAGAAACACCCGGTAATCAGATCTGATTGAGCACGGGCCCACAGAGCAAGTAGGACATGCAGACTAAATCCTGCGGTGTTGTCTTGGCACAGCGTCCCGCTAAACTTGGACTTCCTGCATACATAACCCAGTGGATGTTTGTAAGGAAATAGAAAAAGGTATAATCACAAGGACTCAGCAATGAAACACATCTGCTGATAGCATGCTAATTCACCCACTAAAACTAAACAAGCAGCAGAGAGAAAAATATGTCATTTTTGTTTTCTATTTTAGAGAGAACAGTGATTTTGCTACTGTTTAACATAAAACGATGCTCCAACAAAGAAACTAAAATAAAACATTTAAATTAATAAATATTTTGGAGCTAAATAAACCTAATAGCTTGAAATGTACTGTATGTAATGCATAAATCACAATCTGCTTTCCATGATTTTCTCTTTAAAGCTGAAAATCTTTTTTTAAGTCCAATTCTCTGACATAATAAAAGGATTTGGAGCCAAACCGAAGTGGAATAGCTGATGACATGTCATCTAAAACTACAAAGAATGACTACCAGCTGTTTTAAACACTTTTTTGGTTTTACAAAACAGGCCTTTGTCAAAAGTAATATGTCAGCAGGATGTGTGGCCTCTTATTATAAAAAAAGTATATAGTGAGGATATTTACATTGCCTATATATGAGAAATATAAGATCTCTTTTAAACGTTATGTTTAAATAGATTTTCAACTTTTTTTCAGCTGGTCCTTAATTCTAATAAGCAAAACAGAGTCATTCATATTAACTGACAAGAAAAGCTTATATTGTGATACATATTTCATCCATATTGCTCCACCCTGGACTAAAATATGTAATACTGGAGATACCAGCACCCATATCATCAAAGAGACTGTGGGTTTTGTTTGCGAGTATAAAGCTTTGAGGCCAATATGTCCGCACAGACTGGCAGCGATTGATCGCCCGCTTAGACAGGACGAGATCTGTGCTGTGCATGCTACTTGGTTCAGAGCCTTTGCACTTTGCAAGTGACTTGTTTGTTGTAACAGCAACAAACTGTGGGTGCAAGAAACCCTCAGGTCCAGAGAGCAGATTGAAGAGTTCCGGCTTGTGAAACAGCTCCGTTTTCACAGGGACCACGATGACAAACATGGCTTATAGAGTTAGGGGAATTCAGAAACACACAGCTTTTCCTTCATTTTTCTTCCCTGCTGGAAGGCCAAGAGCCTGCTGGTCGAACAAATATTCCTCACTGCGCACGGCAGCCGAAGTTCAGCTGTAAGCGCAGCACATCATCATAGAAACAATGCTAGTAAGACTAGAAGTAAAGATCCACCTGGTTACTTTGTCAACATAAAGACAGACATGGTATCTCTTCTCATAAATAGTTTAGAGTCAGTGCGGTGAGCAAGAGCGCAAGCAGCCCTACTGAAACTGCTGTCATAAGCATGCCAGACCCATAGGTGGCGCAGTCATACTGCTACAGCAGGGGTCACCAACCTTTTTTAGGCCGAGGGCGACTTCATGGGTACTGAGTTAAAGGAAGAGTTACCAATACTGCCCAATGATCAGAAGGGATCAATGTTCACCTTAACTTCATACATAATAAACATATTTTTATTGGGAGGGAAGAAATGAAAAAAGGAGGGATAGGATGGAAAGAGGAAGGAAGGAAGGAAGGAAGGAAGGAAGAGAGGGAGGATTTGAAGGAATAGAGGAAGGAGAGATGGAAGGATGGAAGGAAGGATGGTGGGAGGGATCAGCGTTCGCCTTAACTTCATACATAATAAACATTTTAATTGGGAGGGAAAAAATGAAAGTAGGAGGGATAGGATGGAAGGAGGGAGGAAGGATTTGAAGGAATAGAGGAAGGAGGGATGGAAGGAAGGATGGTGGGAGGGATCAGCGTTCACCTTAACTTGATACATAATAAACATATTTTTTTTGTTTCTTTTAGCTCCCAATTTTCTTTAATATTGTCATTTTTAAATCTATAAATACTTAAAATAGTGTGTATAATTAAAATGATGAAATGTTCTATAAATGATTAAAAAAGAAGGGTAACAAAATAAAATAAAAAATTCAATCTTAGCCCACTGATGAGCTGTGCTGTTTTCAGAAGTGGCTGTGGGCTCCCCATGAGGCCCCTGAGGGCCCCTTGGTGCCATGTTGGTGAGCCCTCTGCTACAGAATCCCACTAACACTGTGAACTATAACACCGGCCATGCTCAGGCATCTCTCGCAAGGCAAACCCAGCAACACAGGAACATGATGCATGCAGATTACGGAGAGACGGAGCTTCGTATCAAAGAATAAGAAAAGACGTGGCTCACATCTACACACAGAAATATGAAAGCAACGTCTACTTTTAGACCTTCTTTAAAAAATATATATTTTATGTTCTCCCAAAACTGCCTAAAAAAGAAAACACCTTAGAGGTTATCACTAGTCTTGTGTTTGTTGGGTTGAAGTCTGCCTGACATTTTAGTTAATTTTGGTTGCAAGTAGAAGTTTACTACTGCAGGAGATCACAGGAGGGCTCTGTGGCTCTATTAGGTGTCCAAACATCCATTCAAAGAGCGTTACTTTTTGATGCCCTCATTCTAATAACACAAATCTCTGCCTTACTTGCTTACACTTACAAGTCTGAGAGCATTCCTGTTTTCTTCTTGGGTGGCCGTTTTAGATCAAGGCCAGAGTTTATGCCTTGTATGTAACGTCACACTCCTAAAGCTTTTGGCTGTGGTCACTGTGATAGAGTATGCTGACTACATCCCATTAAAGTAGAAATTAATGACAAACTAATATAGGCTGCCTCAGAACATTGAAATGAAAGCCAAAGATGTTCCAGATAGAGTCATTCTTGGCTCTGCTAAAATTTCGTAGGAGCTGGGCACTTTGAAGCTCTGCATCCATAAAACTTGAGCAGGGTGTGTGTGTGTGTGTGTGTGTGTGTGTGTGTGTGTGCGAAGGAACATCTGTTGATTTGAAAGATGCAGGCTTGGGGGAGCGTTGCCAAGCAATGCTTCTTATCAGTGTTTCAACACAGAGGAGAGCAGAGCGGTGCAGTGCGCAGCTTCACGTCTGCAGATAGATTCCTCAGATTACCCTAAGACGGGTTGAGGGGGCTGAAGATGTACGGACAGACGGAAGGGAAGAAACACGAGACAGAACAGAAAACAACCTAGGAATACGCAAGGCGTCGCTCTGGGGGTTCAGCGAAAATATCCCTGTGTAGGCAACGTAGGAGCAAGCTGAAAGGCAAAAGGGAGACACAAAATGAGAGAATGAGGGAGTGAGAGTCATGCAGGTGAGGAGAAGGGAAATAAAAGATATGAGGGCAGATTGCTTATCACGCCCTGACCCGGAGCTCTCTAGACAGAGGAGATAAAACAGGTGCACACATCTCCCTCTGTACAGTTTACACAACCCTCACTACCTAAAAGAGCAGTGAAATGCCAAAAGGAGAAGGAGGACTAAAGGAGGACTAAAGAAAAAGGCTCTTTTCATTATTTGCTCAAAGGTGTCCGGGTAGCTCAGTATCTCCATACTGCTGCGGTTCAGAGTACCTCACTCAGACAGTACTTTGGAGGCTGATAACTGCTGAAAGCACTCAGTCAATAGTAATTACAGGCTCTAAGTGATGGCCTCCGCTTCCTATGGAAGCGATCTGCTGAGATATAAAAGTGTTGCTCAACGTATTTCATCCACCAAACAGCAAATAGAAACAAACACTACAAACTGTAAGTTTATCTCCATTTTGCTGCTGGTTGTATGTTTTCAGAAGGGGCAGTACCGGTAATATTGATGATGGATACCAACATCCCTCCAGGGCAACAAAAACAACAGGAGAAAGTTTGTCATAGTTTGTCTGCTTCTCCTCTGATCACATTAAGGAGAATTCTGACAAGTTCTAATGATTTACTAAAAACTATTTACTAAAAAAGCTAATCCAATGTGAAATATGACCTCAGATAGCTAGTACAGGGTTCCTACAGCATAAGGCAAGTTAAATTCAAGACTTTTTTAAGACTTTTTAATGCAACTTGGAATAAAAATGTAAGACCAAATTCACAAGAAACACAAACACTTCCCATACAGGAAGAAAGCTAAAAACACACAAATGACAGATATATTTAACTGAATTCACAAACTTTTAGCAGGGAACAAAACAAATCAGTTTTAAAGCCACAACATAACCAGTGCTAAGTATTTTTTGCAGCTATAGCATGGTACTGCATGCATTCTTCAGTTCGTCCTCCACCTGTTGCAATTCTGCCATTTTTTCTTTGTATTGTTTTCTGTTTGATATGGTGATAAGTGGAGGTGTTGCAGAGACAAGGGTGGAACAAAACTGAGAAATACCGGCTGTTTCTCAGTAACTCAAGTTTGACGCTTTGTGTTTTGTGCTTCGCATGTGCGACTCCCCTGCCTTAATTCCCATCGTTCCGAGCTTGAATAAGTTCTTACACAAAATACACTGTGCCTCACGTATGTCCCCTGGTACTGGTTTTAGCCATGGAGAAAACTCTTGGCTGGATAGCCAATTTTTCTAACATTTACACTTGCCCATATTTTCCAGACAAAAAGTTAATGGTGCATCTCCCAAATGTCCCGGCCACAACAACGCTTTATTGGTTCCGCTATTGGGATGGAAGCAATAATGGCGAGCCGTTATTTTTTTTAAATAATAAAAAAAAATGTCAATTTTAATGTTTTATTTAGATTACAAAAATAAATCTTAATAATATAATCCTATTTATGATGTTTTAAAAATTAAGACCTATGAAAGACTGATTTAAGACATTTAAATACCAATTAAGGCCTTAGTTTTATTTTGAAGAATTCAATGCCTTTTAAGACTTTTTAAGGACCCGCAGGAACCCTGTGGTAAACTATTCAACTGCCCCGCCATTTTAATCTGAATAATGCTGTGTAGAATTAATGTTTTGTTTTTAACTGGATGAAAGCTTTGAACTTGTTGTGCAGCTCCGTGTTTCTAACCATTATTAAATCCATTTTTTGTACAACTTTTATTATACATTTAACAGACTTGTCCAAGCTTTGTGTATTTTCCAAGCTTGCCTTTTAAATATACATTTTTGTTGGAATAAAGCCACTTTATATTAATCTCTTTAACGGCAAGATCTGGGGTTTAATATGAATTTAAAAAAGGAATGCATAACCAAATGATGAACTGACGCTGCTCTATTTATGGTTAGAAATAAAATAAGTAATTCTGGTAGGACACAAAGCACAAAAAGCTTCTTTTTTTGTTGTTTCTAACAAAAGCTGACATCTTCTCAGACTTTTCAGATGTTTACTCTTGGCACTAACTGCATTTACTGCAGAGAACTAAAGTGGGGGTACTGGCTGGATCCCCCTCAGTACCCAGGATCCTAACGGCATCCCCCTTAACTCACCCCAAGGTTCCAGCTGTTAAGGCAAGCCTCCAGGTCACTGTCATCGCAAGACGCGTTTGCTTTGAGCAGCCCATCCACCTGAGAAGAAAGAGTTGGTGTAAAAAAAATTGCATCAAGAGAAATAGTGAAACAAAATAAAATAAAAAATGTTTTATTTATTGTTTTACAACACAAAGATCAGCTGCTGATGGCTTACTGCCTTTTCACTTATTCTAACACCTTTATAAAAATGAATCTAGTCTTTCTTCCTTAAATACCAACAACACTTTATTCCACATCCAATAACATATTCCCATTCTGTTCATTCAATCATTTAGTTCTCCAGATGTGAAGCAGCTGAACATAATATCTGTCCAACAGTAAATTCCTAAAGTATATGTGCAGCTAGACTCCCCTCCATTGGAAATTGTTTCAGTCTTTTGTTACAGCTGGGCCTCACATTCATATTATGCACGATAATTCAAATGGTTCCAGGGGTTTTGTTGATACTAGATCTGCTTACCCAAGTCAACTTTGTGCAGCAGAAGCACGAGTACGGGAAATATCTAATAAAGGTGAAGGAGCAATAGGAAACGGAGACGTTGTTGAATGTGATAAGAATCTAATGGAGTGCGGACCTTGGGAGGACCTCAGCAGGATGGCGCTGGCACAGGGAAACGGATGAATAGAATAGCTAAGGATTATATGCCTCCTCTGATTAGAATAGTAATGCGACCTCAAAGCTCCAACCTCAGACAAACAGGATAAATGTTTCATTTCAGCGTATGGGAATGCTGGGAATGCACTACACTGACTGCTTAAATCAGCATATCATGGGCTTTGAAGGGCAAGCAAAATTTAAAGCACAGTTTAGAGATGTTCCTAATTATTTCTGGCTGCAAATATTAGCAGATGATCGCCCTACTGCTTTATTTATAAATGTTCTAGCTGTTTTAGGAAGAGCAACGAAAAAGAAATAGGAAAAAAATAGTTTTGGTAGATCATCTTTAATTAGTTAAGCCTTTTTCATGCCCATGCAAGAAGGCCTAAACTTGAAAATATGTCAACTTTGCTTCCTCCATTGAATAGACACAATGATAACAAATGTTACGCAAGTCTTCATTTAAACAAAAAGAAATATTTATTTTTAAAAAAACATGATGTACATAAGTATATAGGAGGATGTTCTTTTTTTCCAGGTGGATCATTAAAGTAAGTGGTCCTCCTAATTGTCAATCATTCTGGATATATGTTTACCTAAGGCCGCCCTATGTGCTCGTCCCCATTTTCACTAACCGGTGGTGAGTCTGACATAGTGGAAAAATTGCAAATCTTCTTTTGGAAAGTAAGCTTGAATGAGAGATAAGAACAGCGACTTCTAAACAGAGCGCGCATGAGGAGAAACGGAGATTGTGCATGCTTTCACACGCACAGGCGTTCCCCCTGGGGAGCGGGTACAGGGTTGTGCTTGTGCATTTTTTTTAATAGTGTAGAGGGCAGGTCTTTTCAAAAATTAGCAAAAATCCTCCACTATACCTTTTAGGATTCTGCAGTTCCTTTTTTGACAATGCAGGGGCACCAGTAGACAGCTAACAACTGACAGAATAAGGAAAGCAAATAAAGGAAATAAGTTCCCGCAAATTACGCTACCTACATAGTTAGTGTTACCATTTAGCCAATTTTAGACGTTTATCACACATCCTGCAATAGATGGTTGTAAAGAAGGTCATGTGCCACACAAGTTGATCAGTTAGTGTAAAAAAAAAAACAAAAAAACTAGCAAGTGTGCGAATGGCCAAAGGACATTCCCCTAAACTGAGTGTCCAAAAAGCACATCCAACAACGGCCATCTGTAAGGGTCAGAGTAAACAAGGACAGGGGCTCAGCTCATATTCTGACTTTGATCATTCTTCATACCATTGAAGGAAGATGATTTTTCAAGTTTACCATGCCAATAACATTTTTGGGAGTAAAGATAAGGTTATGAATTAGCTGTTTTTTGACTTTCATGCCAACTAAGGCCCCGTCCACACGAAGTCAAAACGAACACGAAACGCTAATATTTTCCAGAAAGTTTGTCTTAAAGACGGAGACGTAAAATAAATGTGATCGTCCACACGAATGCATGAAAACGCTGCAAAATGTATGCCAGGCCTGTAAGTGGCGCTGTGGTGCCAAAGCAAAAATAGGCGACGAAATGTTGGGCATGCGCACTAATATTTATACATGGCTGCCCTGCGGGTCAATCTTCGTGGTTCAGTCAAATTCAGGTGCTGAACTATGTCGTCGATATTGCTCTGTTCTTCCTGGAGATATTCCAGAAGAAGAAGATTCTGTTGTAAGCCCGACAGCAGGGTGAGTAGCATGAGCAGCAACCATTCAACACAGTACGGCGCCATTGTTGTTGTGATACTGTGTCGCGCATGCGTGTTTAGAGGCGATGCTATGACGCATGCGTGTAAGAAAAAAAATGCGGTTAGAGCTTAAAGATGGAAACGCGAAAACGGTGTTTCAAAATCTTCCCACTCTGAAGGCTTAATAAAAAAAAAGATCATTTACAGAACCCCGAAATGCCGGCTTCGTATGGATGAGAGGCTGGTTTGGTGAAAAATTTGTGCGTTTAGGCCAGGGTTTGACTTCGTGTGGACGGGGCCTAAGCTAGTCTTTTTATGAGGTGTAGGACACAAACCACCCCAGCTTTCAAGCACCATGTCTACCACGTGTTCCCCTACAAACGCTGTACCAAATGATCATTAGTTAAAGTGCTGGGTAGAGTCTCTTCTTCAGGGTTTTGGCTAATTACTTGTCTTATCACATTGGGTCTGATTATTCTAAAAGAGGAAAACGAGAAGATGATGGGAGGGTTGTAGAGTCAGACCCTAAAAAGTGATAAGGTGTGAGAAAAAGACCGACCTGCAATCCGAAAAACCTCATACCAAGCACATTTAAATCTCCCATGAATAAAAACCATTTGTGTAAATAAATAGCTGACAGGGTTAAAGTGTTTTTCACCATCCTAGTATGGTCAAAAATAGGGTTTTATGGTACCGCTCCAGTATGTTTTTTATTAATAATTAAATGTCTATTCAGAGCATTTTTTCAGAAAGGCATTAATTTATACCTTTTCTGTAAGATATTTTGCAGCTGGGAGATAAAAAAAAACAAAAAAACCAACCCTTCTTCCATCTTTTGTGGAACCCTGCTTTTGTGGACTGGAGGACGTTGGTTTAGGAATTACCTTCTCCTCAAACAGCATCCTCCTGAAAGAGAAACAGAGGAACTCATGTCATAAGAATGGAACCTAAAATATCTAGGTGTGTAGTCCTGCGGTCTGTTCGTGCCTCCCTGCATGTATCTGAATGTGCTTGCATCGGCAGCCCCCCTCCCTCCTACATATGAGCACATCAACATCTGGCACTGGTTGCATGGTTTGCGGTCTGCAATCCATCCCATCTGAACAATAAATGTCCACGCCATTCTTCATTCGGTTTCCATGTGCAACATATGGGAAGCCTGGCTAAGACTCTAACCATTCCCTTTCAATCAGACACGTCAGTGACTGTCTCTCACCATGTCTGTCATGGTGTAAAAAAAGTAGCAGCTATCCTGATACACACACTCCTTTAAAATATGCAGACCCATATACCCTTGCACACTATCACTGAGCTAACAATCTCATTAGGCGCCGGCACACAGGATGTTATTAGCCCACTAACACTAATTGAGTGAATAAATGCTGGAATGCCAAGCGGATGTGGAGCCACAGTAAAAGAAAATAAGATTTTTAAACATCTTATAAAGACATCACTTGGCTTTCTGAAAGGGCGGCTGTGGCACTATGAAAAATACATGGGATTTTCCTTCTTTGTTTGTGTACAATTTAAATTGAATCTCAATTATCAAAAAAGGCAGACACACACACAAAAAACTAAATATTAGAAGATCTTAATAAGCCTTTTAAATCATCTTGTCCCTGAAAACTCTAAACAAATGTTTACATTAATGGTTTCTGGGAAGTTTACCTCTGGGTGAAGTGATGTACTGTTTCAAATACGCCACTTTAATTAAAAGCTAGTAATTCTAAAAGCATCTTGCAAAGGATGTGCACTTCAACAACCATTTTATTGCTTATGAATTTAGTCCCATTTACTCTGACACTCTAAAACAAAACCCAGATAAACATGCAATTAAGCAGAGAAAACATTGTGATTCTGTGAAGAATTTTTAAGGACTAGTAAAGCACATTATTAGTGGATAAACGGCATAATTTGAACCACTGAATGCAGCACACAGATGAGGAATGAGGGCAGAGAGACACGGGTAAAAGTTTGAATCTGTTGACAAAAGAAAAAGGAAATCCTGTTGAAATTGCAATAAACTGCAGTCTGAAAGTGATAGCCCGAAGAGTACAAATAAACATTTTCTTTTTCTTATTTGAATGGCATTCGAAGATGATGCTTCCTCTTCCTTTAACCTCTCAATAATTAAGTACTTTGTGTTTGTCTATCATATAAAATCACAAAACAATAGATTGATGTTTGGGGATGTGAGTTTTTTTTTCTTTCTGTAAGCTAATGTATATGTATCGTCAGGGATGTTGATTTTTTTATTAGAAGATATAGTTCTATCAGAGCTGCTGGGTGTGAACTAATTATTTGCTCTTCTGCATCTTGTCAAAGCAACTAATAAAATAAAGCAAAGTATGTTTAAATCTAGAAGGTCAAATGTGTTTTTATTCTCTATTTCAAAAATTGAACCGCTAAGAAATTAGCAGTTTGGTTAAGAGGAGCCAACATAATGATAAGTAATGAGTTTAATTTGTTCTCTGTAGTCGTTCAAACTACTCTTAAAAGAAACTGTAGATACAAGTTGTGTTTCTTGTAATTAATTTCTTTAAATGTGCCAGATTGAAGACACCTTCATGATAAACATTTTCCCATGTTTTTGTAGGCGAAAATGATCAAATACTGTAAAATAACTTAATGGCAATTGCTCATCATTGTTTTAAATTTTTGGAAAACCATCTATTAATTAAAAAATCAAACCAGTTTTTAGTTCAGGATTTTTACACATCAGGACTAGGGATGGAACGGTTCACAAAATCCACGGTTCGGTTCACGGTTTCGTGGTCACGGTTTTCGGTTCGGTATATGTTGATTGTTAGGAGAATCTATTATGTCTTGTATAGTACAACACGTGTTGCACAATGCTTGCACACTGTTGCACTTTTATCCACAACTTTCTTTCCGCCGTCATCGTAGGTCACTCTAAATGCAAAGCGCTCCCATACAGCAGACCTATAAAGTGCTGCTGGCGCGTCTTCCAACGCCTGGTCTTTCCCACTCGCCATACCCACACAATTCACAACAACTGATTTTTTTCTGCTACACCCGGCTAAGCTGCTTCGCTTCTTCTTCTTCTTGTTTACTGCTGGTGGTTGGCTTTGGTCGCAGTACTGCCACCTTCTGCTCTGGAGTGTAAATGCTTCGCCTATGAGAAAATGGAGCAGCGCATGAACCGAACGAAACACACGTGAATCGAACCGAGACAGTCGAACCGAACGGTTTGGACGGTTTTCATAAACCGTTCCATCCCTAATCAGGACATGATGAAACTTTTTAGTTTCCACCGGGTTTACTATTAAAAACAGAAACCATGATTATATATTTAATCTAACAAAGTTAAAGCCCGGCTTGAGAAGCAGCAGGCGAAAATTTAAGCACAACTTTACAGCCTTTTACTTCTGATACATTCTATTCAACTAACTGATCATGTGCAAGCATGAATAACCCAACAAAATCAGGACTTGATCCAGTTTGCTGTCTGGAGCAAATTCCCTTCAAAGTCAACCTATGCAACACTCAAAGTAACTTAAAAAAAAATCACAGTAACCTCTTGATAGACTCTATAAGCCATCATTGGTGTGTTAAAGGTGATGCTGATGTCATAACGTTTCCCATCTAGCTGGCATGCTGGTATTTTTAAAGCAACTTGCTGAAGTAGATATGGTGGAACATCAACTTCCATCCCATGTTTGAAAACTGTTTGCAATTCTAATAGAAACTCACTCTTAAAAGACCTTTGCAGTGACATCTCTGTTTTATTGTATTGTGCATTTTTATAGTAAAGTATGAACCTTAAATAAGGCCGTCAATTAAATACTATCTGAATCAATGTTTCAATCATTTATTATCCTGAGGTGAGGGAAGCATCTGCAAACGACATGAGAAGATTCAACAGTGGTGTTTGGTCTTTGCTGCTATGTAGTGCAATATATATGTTTTTAATGCTGTTGGACTTACCCAACTACCAACTGGAATCCTTTAGATTAAAACTTACATAAATTTATAGGGAGGATCAGTCATGTGATCATGAATGAACACCCCCCGTTAATTTTCGTTCTAAATCGATGCTAACGTCTCAATGTTTTCTTCTATGCTCTACTGGGTCTAGATCAGTGTAGTGTTTTTAAATCTAGTTTACATTTATGTTTGAAACTTTATATAATATGACTTGCTTTATTGTTGTTTGTAATCCAAAGTCTAGCTAGGTGTGTGATTTGCAGATAGCTTTGATTGAATGCTAATTTGATGTAGAGTTAAGTTAGTTCCAATAGAAACTAAATTAGAAATTAAAAAAAAAAGTCTAACATGAACCTTTCAGCACGGTGGTGGAAGGATAATGATTTGAACCACTGGACATGTAATCCTTTTACCTTCTGTGTTTCCCACTTGTGGAAACACCAAAGTATTATAGAGCTAAATGGAAGGATCTTCAGCCAACAGCTGAAACCTGGACCAAACTGGGTATAATGATGCCAAAAGAGAAAGAAGCGGGCGTGCCATCAGTAAAGGTTCAAACCTGTAGCCGGTTATAATGCTGTGGTGGGAACTTAAGAGAAGCATGAAAAAACATATGAAAAAAAATAATACAATTCATTGCTAATGATGTGAGAGACTGAAAAAAACATACAGTTTAAAACACTTCAAGTTTCTGCTAACATAGTGGTTTCAAACATTGAATCATGGACTTTAGAGTTGTTGTCTTGTGTAAATAAAAACTGAAGTGTGGTTTTGTGTAAGTTTTTATAACATCCATCAGAATGAAATTTTTAATTTTAGTAACCTAAAGCAAAACTTAACCTGGTCTGTTTCAGGTTTGTACTACAAGTTATCAAAGTCATTATTACAAACTATACATCAACTCTGCAAACATCCCTCTTTAGCTGTTAAATTTCAACATATCACATGTGTCTAGGCTGGTTAACAACATATATTGTAGTTTATTATGTGGGGTATGTGTATGAAAATTAAAAATGGTTCAATAAAAAGTTTGAATAAAAGCAGTAAGGTATTATGTGCTCACATTCACACTCACACACGTGGAGCTATGCAATTCTGATGGAGGGGCCAAGCCTCACAATTTTTTGGGCCTCTAAGTCAACAGGTGGATGAAGATAATTGAATCAGATGTGTCTGAAGTCTGAGGCCCACAGATCAAAGCAGTGGCAAGCCAAGCCAGAGCAACACACACACACAAAAAGAGCACCCATAACGTAAAGGCACAGAAGCTGCAGCTCGGCTGATTAAAGCCGCCTGACATCCAAGCTCCAGCCTGACCTCCAGGTGCAGAGCCAGCGGGCCTAGGTCTTAGCCTCAAGCACCCCTAGAAAATGTTTGACCTTGGGTTACAAAAATCCCCACGTCCCTGCACAACCTCCACCAAAAACCGAAACCAGGAAAGATCAGAGGGAAAAACTCGTGAGCGAGGAATTCAGAGACACTTATACCAAAATAAACAAGTAACTCACACAACTGCAAATACAATGTTGCTGTCACACTTCCCCAGGGGGAAAAAAAAGGAGAAAAAAAAGTGTAGAGCTGGCTAAGAGCTTTCACATGTGGATGGAAAGCACACAGATGGAAGACAGACGTGAAGGAGAGAGAAGAGGAAAACAAGGAAATAAAACATGCAAGGAGCCTCCAAAACAGAGGCTGCAACTCATTTTAACTACTACTCTCTTCTAAAACGTGAAAAAGGAGAAAGAAGGTCAAATTAAGAGAAGAGTTTATATGACACAGCATCAACAACAACAAGCAGTTGGAGATGAAAACAGCTTCAAAGTATTTTGGATTCATAATCTGTTTGATTGTCTTACAGATTCCTATGGATAAAAAGGTGATATTAACAATAGAATAGCCCCATCTGGTGGTCAGATTTGAAACAACATATACAAAGACAGACATACATATATCCATTT